CTGTCTGATTAAGGTGGACATGCCCTTGTCTGCCCGCCCCTTTGCCTGCGTGCCCTGCGCCTGGCCGGCTGATGTGGCTGATGAAATTGCCCGGCCCGCGAGCCAGCGGCGGCTCGGGACAGCGGCGGCTGCCTGCCTGCCCCTCCCCTCGCCTGCTCTGTGCCTGGCTAATGGTAGCCGCTGTTGTGCCTCGTAGGTGGGTGGTGGGGTTGATGCCCCCGGTGGTTGATGAAATGGGCCAAGATCACCCTGCCACAGTAGAACAACCCGGCCACAGAAGCAAGCACGCACCCAAGCAACCGCGCAAGCGAAACGCGCTCCCAGGCAAGAGCGCGGGTAGGACATTGCGTCTGGAGGACAACAGGAATAGAAAGAGCGTCCTTCAGGCGCAAGCCTGCCGTCGGGAGTAGCTTGGCAACGCTCGACCTTTGGAGCCTTCACGCACAGACACCTTTTTCAACCACCAAGAGCGGTGGACTGCTCCGTCTCCTCCCCATCCAAGTGCGTGCGCGCGCGCGTCTCCTCCTCATCCCCGTGTGCGCGCGGGAGCGCGCGCGCGCCTCCTCCGCATCCCCGTCTGCGCGCGGGAGCGCGCGCGCGCGCGTCCCCTCCGCATCCCCGTGTGCGCGCGCGCGCGCGCAGCGCACAGGAGCGCGCGCGGGAGCGCGCGCGCGCGCGCACCTCCTCCTGGTCCCCCTGTGCGCGCGCGCGCGCGCACCTCCTCCTGGTCCCCCTGTGCGCGCGCGCGCGCGCACCTCCTCCTGGTCCCCCTGTGCGCGCGCGCGCGCGCCGCGCACAGGAGCGCGCGCGGGAGCGCGCGCGCGCGCGTCCCCTCCGCATCCCCGTGTGCGCGCGCGCGCGCGCGCAGCGCACAGGAGCGCGCGCGGGAGCGCGCGCGCACCTCCTCCTGGTCCCCCTGTGCGCGCGCGCGCGCGCGCCGCGCACAGGAGCGCGCGCGGGGGCGCGCGCGCGCGCGCACCTCCTCCGCATCCCCGTGTGCGCGCGCGCGCGCGCGCGCGCGTGCAGAGCACAGGAGCGCGCGCGGGAGCGCGTGCGCGCGCGCACCTCCTCCTGGTCCCCCTGTGCGCGCGCGCGCGCGCACCTCCTCCGCATCCCCGTGTGCGCGCGCGCGCAGAGCACAGGAGCGCGCGCGGGAGCGCGCGCGCGCGCGCACCTCCTCCTGGTCCCCCTGTGCGCGCGCGCGCCGCGCACAGGGGCGCGCGCGGGAGCGCGCGCGCGCGCGCACCTCCTCCGCATCCCCGTGTGCGCGCGCGCGCGCGCAGAGCACAGGAGCGCGAGCGGGAGCGCGCGCGCGCGCGCACCTCCTCCTGGTCCCCGTGTGCGCGCGCGCGCGCGCCGCGCACACCAGCGCGCGCGGAAGCGCGCACACACACATCTGACACACCTGGCTTAAAAGCGTGCGCGCGCGCGTGCGCGCAAAAACGCAGCTCCGCGCGCGCGCGCGCACGCGCAAACGCGCCAAAAAGCGCGCGCGCGCGCGCAAAAACACGCAAAACGCGCGCGCGCGCGCACGCACACCTCACAGCTTTACATGTCCGCAGAAAGACAAGAAAAGGATAAGCAAGTTAGTGAACCTTCAAAATGCAACCAGGTTCTGAGTTACATTTACAAAAAAAAATTCTCGACCTGAGGAGGTTCCTAGACTTTGTTTGAGTCTGCGTCTCCGTCTGTTTCGGCATCCAAGAGCAAGCAGTTCTTCGCTCCCGATGCCACTATTCACCGGATCTCGATCTCTGTGCTGTAATGACCCATGGCATGGCAACGGCAATCACGATCAGGTTCAAGTAGCAGCAAATTAATTATATGATGTGACAGCGACTGTGACACCCCTGGCTGCGCGATCCCTGCGTATTAATCGAGAGATCATCTGCGAACGTTAGTGTAACTTGTGCCCGTAATTGAGCTGCAGAAAACTACGATGCTGTAGCGAACAAATATCCAGACGTTGTCAAGTAGTAGAACTTCCGAACACCATGGAGCCCTCTCTCTTGCCGCCGATAACAGCTCTGGAGGAGTGTGTGCACACCGGACGATGCTTCGTGCAGTCGAAAGAAGTCTCCTTGGAATGGTACGAAAAGGTCATTCACCGTATGGGGATGGGTAGTATTCTCGACGATTCCCATCTCGTTTTCGACCGCCAGGAAATGGCTTTTTTGCGGGAAAAAAAGCTGATCAGTGAACAAGGAACTGCCAAAAAAGCTGCAGGGACCGCTGGGGCTTCAGCTTCAGCATCGAGCTCCTCTTCTAGCAGAGCAGCGCGACAGGATGTTGATGCTAGCGCAGGTGCTACAGTACCTTCACCACCAAAAAGGAGCAAAAAGTCTCCGGGGAAGGAATTACATGACGAGATAGAAGTGCCGGATCGAGTAACAACTTCTTCCGAACGTTGTACTATGTCTTTTGTTGAAATTTCCAGAAAGAACCGAAACAGCGTCTACGCTATGTTAAAAGAACGAGGCTACATAGTTCGCTCCGGATTGAAGTTTGGCGTTGACTTTCTCGTCTACGAGGGGAGTGGTCAGGGAAAAAATCACGCCAAATTTGCGGTGTTGGTAGACCATGGCGGAACCTTTGACGCGAAAGCTCATGGGGAAAACCACACACATCACCTAACAACCTGGGGCACGGTGGCGGCAAAGTCGCGGCTGTGTACCAGCGTCGGGAAAAAACTCTGTATGATAAACGCCAAAACCGGAAAAGGCTGGGTTTTCAACCGATGGAAATACTGAATCGGACGGGGAATTATTGAACACGAATTGATGCACAGCGTCGGTCAACAAGGAGTAAGATCTATCATAATGCGGAATCGTTCCGAAAGTGGATTGCGGCATAAACGAAAAGTAGAACAAGAAAAGTAGAACAAGTGCATGCTCTGTTAACGCTACAGCGACAACCAGCCACGCGACAGGAAAACCAAAAGAACTATGGACTTATAATTTCGAAGCAGTATCAAGTCAATTCTCGCTGAGTATCTGTGTCTTGTAACGGAGCGAACGTCGATTGTGTTCTCAGTGCCCAGCGATTATCATAGTGGTGTTTGTGTCCATCCGTCTCTGGCCCCGACGTCTGTGCTTCTGGCGTGATTTTCTGTGCGTCTTTGAGAGATAGATTGGGATGAGTTTATCGAGCGCGACCGTCTTAGAGCAGTATGTTCATGTTGTCAAGTTCTTTCGAGATAAAATTTAGAGCGAACAAGAAGTCTACCATGTCATGAAAGAATTCCAACATTCGTTTTTGCATATGCAAGGATAAGAATACTGTTTTTGTTATTGAACCACGTGAAAAGTAGACCCTTCAGCTTCGGAATTAGCTGGTGTATGAAAGTGATGCCGATGGATTCCTTAGTGCCAGTTCAGAGCAACGGACCAGGCTCCAGAATGTGTTGTTCTATTTCCTGGGCATCGTTCTTTTCGTTTCTACTATGCTACAGCGGTGCTGGGCTTTTTGCAAACGCGAATCCGAATGTTGTCGCTCCTGTAAAAGCCGGCTCAACATCTGCTGTCCCAAGTTCTACTGCGCAACACGGTAGTACCGACCATGACAACGTCGTTCGTGTACGGGATGACCTGCAGGAGCAGTCGGACGAACCTCCTACATTGTCGACCAGTAAGGACACGCCCGGGCGGGACCACCACCACGTCGAAACCAGATCGGAGGATAAACTCACCGCCGGGGAGGTGGAAAAGGTGCAAGTAGAAAATGCGAACAAGGAGCTGCCCATCGGGAGCAAGAATCTCTCTCGCCGGGAGCATCAAACCACTAAGAGTACTAGCTCTCGTCCAGCCCAGCATGCTGGTGCTCCAGCACCTGAGGCTGAGCAGCACCACAACAATCCAGGTGATGGTGTTGAAGATGTCGAGGAAGGGGAGGCGGAAGCGCCCGCCTTCGCTGCTGAACGTGCTGCCGAAAAAGAAGCAGCTCCCGCAAAGAAGACAAAAATGTTCCGTGCGGGTGACGATGACGAAGGCGACGAGGAGGACGCCAATGAAGAATGGGAGCAGACGGCAACTTCTACCGGGACAGGATCTGGAAATCAAAATGCTGATAGTTCAACTTCGGACCAGCAGGGTGATGATGAGTTTAATGTGCAGTATCCCCCGGCTCCGCCGCTGGACGATGGAACGGGGAAGAACATCACCAATCTCCTGGACGAACAGAAGCTATCCTGTGCAAAACTATCGTACTCGTATTGCAGTCATGCATTACAAATCTTTTTCTTAAGGAAAATCCGCATTACAGTTACAGATTTTACTCTCATGCTGAGAAATTCAAATTTGTAATGCATTTATACGAGTACGATATTCATACATTTGCAGTTCATAGAAGCTGAAGATTAACAAGCGGCAAAACGGCGAGAAGGTGGAGTACGTCGTCGACATGCTGATCCCAAACTCGGACTTCGGGCTGAAAAAGGGCGAGACGCTTTTTGATTTCGGTGCGGGTCGTCGTGTAGTCCCCTCCAATGTGCTGGACGCAAAGGCGACGGCGGCTTCGATGCTGACGAACATGCTGTTCAAGGAGCAGCCGAACGGGGAGGTGAAGTGCGAGTTCTGCGACGCAGCCTATCAGATGGGAAAGGACTTGCACGCCCAGGAAATGCTGGCCAAAAAGGAACAACAACTGAGCGGAGAAGAAGGCGCTACTGTAGCTAGTAGTACTACGCCCGACGGAACAGCGCTCCCCGGCAAAAGCGCTATGTCGAAGAAAGTTCTCAAGGAGCTCGTGCACGCCGCATATGGGCGGGTGCGGGAGGAGGTGAAGCAACGGAAGCAGGCGGACGACGAGATCAAGAAAATGGCACGGCTGTACCTGAGCCAGATTTTCTTCCCAAACGCACACGTGAACAAAGAAACAGGCGGCGGAGCGGACCCGACCAGCAAGGCGCTCGCCGAAGCGATGCTGTCCGACGCGCTGGGCAACCAGGAGGGGATATCATACAGCAAAAAGCAGGCAGGGCACATTGGCAAACGCAAAAGAAATAAATAATTTAACAGAATCAGAAGTGAAATTGAAAAAAAGTGAGTCTGTCATTGGCGAGCTGAAAGCATGCTATTTGGGATACGCAGTGCAGATTTTCCTGCTTTTTTCTGTGGGATAAACGGACTCGCAGTACCTGGCGTTCGACTGGTTTAACCGGATTATCTACGAGAAGGTGGATGGCATGAAGCACGCTTCGCTCTGGGACCGGGACAACAAAATCGAGAAAATGCGCACCGAGGTCGCGGATCTGTTTTTGGGGAACAACGTGTTTAACCTCAACAGCGACAAGGCGGACGAGGTCACCGACGCAATCAAGCAGCTGGGCGACCGCGCGCATCGCCTGATGCTGTGGCTCAATCGCGAAAACATCTCGGTGCAGCAGCTCGGGGTGGCAATGCTGAATTGTATCCAGAAGGACCGTCGTGCTCGTGCAAGGGCGGGGGAGTGGAAGGTGCAGCACAAGCATTATCATAGTAAGTATGATAGTGCATGCATATGTAGTAAAAACTCCACTTAAATTTATCTGATTTGTGCTGGCTTGCTCAAGGAAGTAGGCGGAGTCAAGAATGATATGTCATACCTAGTTTCAGTCGTACTTACATGCAGCTCATAGTCATAGTGATAGATACTGTCTTCATGATCTTTATGTAGTCTAGTGGGCCTGCATGTTCATCTTCATGGAGATATAAGGTGATTGTCTTGAGAACATTAAAGTTGAAACGCTCGTGCTCGAAGTAGAGGACCGCGAAAAGAAGAAGTAGATGACCTCGATTTTGCCCTCGTGTTAGTCAATTTGTGCCCTTCTTGGATACTTGTGCAAAAGCAAGGGGACGCTGATACCTACAAGCTGCTGCACACCTGTCTGAAGATGTCGGGACAGGAAGTGCAGAACTCCAAGTGGGCGTTGCGGGGCGGGGAGGAAGTGCGGCAGAAGCAGCTGTACGAACTCTACATGTATCAAATGTAAAAATGTCTGGGTCTGGAAACTTGTGATGCTGGGTGGCGTCTCATGATGAGGCTACAGATGCTGGCTCAGCATGACAAGTTTCTGAGCTCCTAGGTGTTGCCTATTCTACATGACAGACTGCGCTTCTGCATCACAGAAAAACGGAGCTCTTGGGTAACGTGCATGACAGATTTAAGGGTCATGCTAGACAAGCATGACAAACATGAACTCTTCCAGACCCAGACATTTTACACTTGATAACATGGCCCGCGGCAAGCACGAACTGCTTTCGCAACTGCTCTATCCTGTGCAAAAGTATCGTACTCGTAGTAATTGCAATCATGCATTACAGATCTTTTTCCCAAGGTAAAACAGCATGACAAATTCCATTCGTCATGCTAAGCTAATTTGTCACGCGATTCATACTAGTACGATACTTCTGCAGTTCATATGCTCTCTCAGCTCACCGTGCACTGCTTCGGCTCTCTGAACCGCGAAGAGTTCGACAAATTCAAAGACTACAAGTCGCCGGAGCTGTATGCAAGCGTCAGGTTTGAAATCGACAAAGTTGAAATGATTTTCCATGCATAAATTGCATCAAGACATGAAGCGCGCGCGCCTCTATTGCAGGGATGGCAAGCGAGGCCGACTGTCATCCTGTTTGGGGTCTGCGATAGAGCTGCTAAAGTAGCATGACAAAGGACGTTTTCTGTCCCTAAACAGAATGACAAGCTGGATGTAAACGGTGCCGAAATTTGTCATGCGCCGGCCGCTTGGAAATTGGGCTTCCAACTGGTATCGATTTTATGCATTACAAATTATTTCGCTTTCGGTTTAGCATTACAAGTTATATTCAACTTTTTCGATTTCAATACTGACACTCGACTCCCATAAGCTGCCGGGGCGGATCCAACTCACATTCGAAGCGCTGGATGAGATATCAACTGTAAAAATGTCTGGGTCTGGAAGAATCCAACTTGTCATGCTGATTTTGGATTCTAAAAAAATCTGTATTGCATGAGCAGCTGCAAAGAGGGTTCAAGTTTTGCCACACGGAAAGAGCATTGGTCATGCGGTATAGGCATCAGGAAGCCCTCACAAAATCTGTGACGCTAGGGCATGCATCACAGACATCAGGAGTCATGCAAAATGTGCATGGTAAACCTGGCAATCTTCCAGACCCAGACACTTTTACATTTGATATGAGAGCGAACGCGCGGACAAGGTCCGGTCGCTATGCCAGAAGAAAACTATGTGAGCGTAAGTCTGTGATGCAGAAAGTGCAAAACTGTATACACTTGTCATGCTGGATCTGCTTCATAGGCTACTTTCATAGGTGTTTCCACGTACTAGCTGCGCATGATAGGTTTTCCCTGTAATGCAAAGCGAATTTGTGATGCTGCTCTTCCTACAAACTTACACTTACACAGTTTTTTTCTTGGATAGTCGCTGCAAACGGAGTACTACTTCATGATGCAGAAGATGGCCAGCATGAAAGTGCAAGAATCCGTATGCGAGTTGTGCATCCGCCTGTGTCCGCAGGAGACCTCCGCAGAAGTACTGCATGACTACAACAGAGGTTCTTGTTCTTAAGGACGACTTGTACGTGCAAGTGCAACTACATGCGAGAGGACTTTTAAGCACTTAGACTTGCCTCCTTCTTCGGCTGCTGATGGCCATAAGCGCATCACTATCAACATCTTTCGCGCTACGTTCTTGCCGATTAGAAGCAATCTTTTGTGGCTCGTCCACTTTGATGTTGCTGGAATTCCTGTCAGAGTGAAAAGCTCCGCATGTAGCATCTTGTGTGAGGTCGTTCTTGCAGATACGGGAGGATTCACGTGCGTATTCTTCCCGTCCGGATTGGGGTGCGTATAAAACCAAAAACAGCATTTTCGGTACCAGCGAAGAGGGTTTCTCCTGCTGGGTGCAACAGGTCGTGCAACTGGTCGCCACCAGCCTGTTTCTCGGATTGTTTGGGTAAGAAAGTACTTTACGTTCTTTTAAGATCTTCGCTCAGTGAAGATGTATCTCGTGTAAGTGTGCATTTTTGTTTCTGAGGCAACTCGTCAATGTTGAAGCCGAAGCAAACCACTACTCGACCTAATATCCACAGATTCATGGCTTGGCAATGGAACGCGTCGGCTCGCGCACGTCAGAAGGCCGAGTTGAGCAAGAGAAAGGCCATCGAGGAACGGTATAAACGGAAGCAGCAGAAAATGGCAAAAACCGCGGCGTCTGGCACAACCCTGCCAAATTCTGGACAACATAAAAAGCACAAGTGACAGCACACCGCGGTCGAGTGGCACAACAATCTATGCTGATGGCTATATAGGTAGTCGTAGTCGATGCATAAAACTACAAGTTGTACTAGAGAAAATCAAAATAGTTTCGAGTGGGAGTGCGCTTCTAGTTCTACTTTGATGTGAATAATTAATGTGTCTCGGAAAGATAGACTGTTCCGTAAATACGGTTCAACAAAAATTTAAAAATTTAAATTTTTGCAGCTCACTTTTTTTTGCATCCGTCACGTTTCATGATGATTTTATGAAAAGTAGAGGCCACAGATACAATGTGCCTTTTTCAGCGATTCGTCTCGACACGACGGTTCAATGGACGATGTCAACAGCACTGGCTACCTATGGAGCTCGAGACTTTCTTTTCCTATATAAATCTGTGCTACAAAAAACAGAACCAACGGTATCGATATGGTTTTTTGATTCGGGTCTTCGGCATTCACCCATTCTGAGGATTTGATTTCAACAAGTTTCCGTGACCACCTTCCTTTTGTTTTCCGATTGATTGCAAGTGTTTCTATTTGCAGTTGTCCGCTTTTCTTGCGGCAGCGGAAAGCCGAGCCATCTGATGCCGAACAGCAGAATGCATGTAATCTGTACACATCTACTTCATTATGATGCCTTGTATATGTATCATACATAGATGCGCGAAGAATAGAACTGAAAGTAATCGAACTCATCAAGATGAATCGTTTTTTCGGATCGATAGTCGTGTGTTCTTGCATGGGTTCGCTTCGCGGAGAAAAATGCTTCTGTTTGTGTTTTTGGGGGCATGTGCCTTCGAGTGAGTCGTCTGCATGTGTTGAAAAATGCTGTGATAGTTCGGTAGTTGGTATTGGTAATGTTGAATTACGCCGGGCGGAAAACAGCATTTAGGGCACTGCTACTGGATTTTCGTATCTATTCGTTCTCTTTGGGCCTCTAGACTTTCAGCAGGGTTGGTGTTGGGAGAAGTGAAAAGGGTCATCGGTAAGTCGAATCTACTAAAAGTAACCTCATGTTCTCATCTTCTGAAATGAATCTCATCATATTTGTATTCGGGGTTGAGGTTAAAAAAATAAAAGCCGTACTATCAAGACCTGGCGCGACAGGCTAGAAGGCCAAAGTCGAAAACTCAGAAGTGCTCCAAGGAATCTATCTTTTTTTCTATCCTTTGTATGGTTGCCGTGGGTGAAGATGAGTTGAAGTTGTATGATTCGCTCGTAACCCGCCCAAAGCCAAGCCGACGTAGATTTTTTGTGTTCTCGCTTTCTCTTCCGCATATGATTGCCGGGTCCATCGTGCGCTCGCGTTCGTTGTCAACCAGCAGATTGTTTTTCCCGCTGTCACAACTTATAATTTCCGTATCAGAGAAACTGAGATACTAGTCCGACCATGCCAACGAGCAGTGACGGTGCAACAAGTACAAGTTCGGCAAGCAGCTCGAAAATGACATTTTTGTTTGCGTGCGTAAAGCTGGGCGCGGCGTTGCTCTTTGCGGGCTACGCTTACAAGGTGTATGCCGACAGTGTGGTGCTGCAAAAGACTAAGAAAGACGAGGAGGAGAAAGAGAACAAGGAGGTCCGAGAACCTGCTTGCGAGCCCGACCCGTCCGATATCGTCAGCAATCATGGTTGCGTCGCCATGTCGCCGGGCCTGATCACACACAATGACCCGAACAGCAGTCTCCTCTCCGCTTCAACACCGACTTCCGCTGGAGGTGGTACGGAGCATCTACAATTCCTTTGCGGGGGCGGTGCAGCTGGCATGCCAGGCAGTAGTAGTACCGGCACGAACGGCATGCTAAACAAGAACAGCAGGGGAAACAACAAGCACCCAGATCCAGAAAGTGTGCGAAGAAACATTGAACTCGGACTTGGAGCAACGTCGAAGAAGAAGCCGGAAAACTTGTTCTTCAACCTGCTCGGATTGTACTTGAATTTCAATATATGTTATTGCAATTAGACCACCTTGTTTCACCATGAACATCCTGCAAGATTTTCACTTGTGATACATTCATAGTGTTTGTGTGTGATTTACCACGAGAAACTCCACGATCATGACACGCAATGTCTTCAGGTACCAGGGCATACCAAAGCAAAAGCAGCAGCAGTAAGTCCCGTCAGAACTACAGCGCCCTACGTTCGTGTTAGTCCGCCTGCGCAAGCGGTTCCGCACCGCCATTCCCTCTGCTACCATGAGCTTCACTGCGTTTGTTCCTTGATCTTTTGGTGCAGAGGACTGTGTGTTTTCCATCTTCCCCAACCGGACGCAGCAGGCACGACGCGCAGCTGATCACGGAAAGGTTCACACGTCGTGAAGAACGGCGTTATTTCATCCGAGTTTCGGGCTTGTTTGCAGCGAGTGAACCGACGCGACAGATGAACTTGGTGAGCAGGATTGTGGTATAATCCGGAAGTAAGACCACGCGGACGAGGACGACGAGCACGAGGATGGTGGTTGGCGCTGAAGGGACGCGGTCCGTATAGAAGGTGGCGCACTTGTTCCGCATTGACAAGTGGAAGGGACGGACCGCTGGACGACGCCAGGAGTACCGCAGCTTGCGCGAAAAAGTAGTGCGCTCTGGGTCCGGCCAGAAGTAGCTAGTGGCCGAACTACAACGAACTGGACAAGGATTCCGCGTGCAGACGATTTTTCGCAAATGAAGCACCCGAGGAGCTGGTCTTGCTTGTACGATAGATATAGAAACAAAATAAAATACCAATACGGTGTACTAGTACCTGACCGAGTGCGGCTTCCTGCTCGTAGAAGTAGGCGCACTCCTGCTGCGACCACTGCAAAATGGAAATTTCTTTGAAGATTGTGATTTTTGAAGCGCATCCACGACCGGACCATCACCATGTACGAAGAACTCGATTGCAGTCCTCTCATGGACGTTTTGGGCTGTTGTAGACTGTTCCCGCACTTCAGGAACAAAGCTGGAGATTAAACTTCGGGAAATTTCAGTTGCTTCGTCTAGTACCCTTCATCGAGCAATCTTCTTCGTTTCGCATAGAGCCATGCTTTATGTGGACTTGGTCTTACACTTACTAAAAAGAAGTTGGCCACAGGATCTCGCGTTTCGTAGTTCTCTCCGGTTTTGCTACTTTAAGTACTTATGAATGTAGCCCGAGACGAGTCTCAAGGTCAACATCAGCAAGTTGCGATCTGGCCTAGAGGCCCTCTTTTTTTCTTGGAGCAGACGAAGCAGAAGTATCTGACTCCAATTAGCTGGTCATTGAGTTCTTGTTTTTGTTGTGCTTTTTGTTGCTCGAAGATAGCCTTTCCGTTCTTGTTGCTCCACTTTTGATTTCTCGTGCTCTAGTAACACCCAAATCAACTACAACTACAACTGCTCTTCACAATCACTATCACATCCAACTGACTGCAAGATAACCGAGAGTCGTACGAGGATGAAAATGTATCTATCATTGTAATTGTATGACTCTCGTTTTTCACTACTAGGCGACTTTCGCTGTAGAAGAAATTTAGCGACCACGACGATGTGGTGAGCGTGAGCCAGCAATCCGCCACCTATTTTTCAAGTTTGAGCATGCGCGACTCGTTGCACAACAACCGGCGCGGCAGTGCGGCCCCGCCCGGTAGCCACCGCGCCATGGAGACTCCTCTGAGCGGCACTCCCGCCGCGGGCGGTCCCCAGGTTCCCTCCGCACCCGCACGGTATGCGCAGTACAGCATTGGTGCACCGTCCTCGGTCAGCCGCGGTGGGGCGTTTCAGCAAAGCAGTAGCGTACGGAACACACCCGTAGGGGGGAAGCTCGGCTCTGCGCTCTTGAGCGGCCCAACCCCATTCGCATCTTCGTCAAAGGGAGGGGCGGGACCGCTAGCGGGCGGCTTTTTATCTAGTGGCAGTGCCAAAGGCGGCATTGCGTCTGTGGGCGGCCCAGCCGCTGCCGTGGCTCCGGGCCCGGGAGGGACTGTGCAGACCATCGCTTCTCCAGTTGAGGGTGCCGCCGGCGGGGCAGCCGCGGGAACGGGAAGCGGAGGTGGGTTTAACAGGACAATTCACGAGACGCCCGCGCAGGCTCCGCGAAGGACGACATTGGATTCCGGGTTTTTCGTCCCGAAAGCCACACCCATCCAGCGCAATCCGCAGGCCACACCGCCGGAGCAGCCAGGTGGCAACGTTCGTTCGCGAGCTGCAGGCAGCTGGAATCCTTTTTTGTTCGGAGGACCGTCGAGCCAACTACCACAGCCACTGGGATTATTCTCCGCCACGGGCGGCGGTACTACGGGAGGGGCCATACCGAATGCTATGCCAGGAGCAACTGCTGGCGCCGCTGCGATTATTTCGCACAGTCAAGGCAGTGGAGCTGCAGCTGCGGGCGAAACGGCAGCTGCCCCAGGGATGAATCTTGTATCGGTGAACCAAAACCTAAACCAGCCACAGCCTGCAGAACAAGGAGGTACAAATGCAGAAGCCGGAGGCACAAACAATGTCAACCCTCCTGCTGGAGACGAGGCACCTCCTGCTGTGCCCCCGCCTATGATGGGCGTGTATACCGCTCCGTCCGCTCCCCCCCTGACCGGCAGTGGTACGGGATTCAGCGTCGCGAGCAGCGGAGGTGGTGGCCCCAACTCCAGCGCGGGGCCGTTGCCGTTGACGCCCACAGCTTCTGCCGGAAAGCTGTTCGGGGTGCACGAACTGTTGCCGGATCAGCTCCACCACGAAGGTTCAGACGAGGACGACAGCTGCAGCTTCGGGCTGCCTATGTCGGTCCGGACGCCCGCATCCATGACCGGGGGCGAATTGCGCGGCCTCCGGAAGAGCAGGGTGCCTGGCGAGACGCTCGCCGGGAACAGAAATATGCTCATGTCCTCCGGGAGAGGCACTAGCAACGTGCACGCGACAAATGGGAGCGGCGGAGCAGCGCAGGAGATGCCTTTGTTCTCATCTGCCGGAGCAGTAAGAGCCGCGAACAAGGGTGGAAACGACAGTGGGGGAAGATCTGGTCGAAAAAATGAAATGATAAACCAAAACAGAGAGAATCCATTTCTGCATGCAGCAAATGCAGGATCCGGAGATTTGATTCTAGCTCCCGCCCATGTTGAAGATGCCAACGCGATACCTGGAACCAGCGGTGGCGGCGGTTCCTCTTCTTCTGCCTCGAGCGGCATTTCACAAAGTTCCCTTCGCCGCGTACGAAGACGGGTTCAAGCGGCTTTCCGTGCGCATTTGTTCCCAACCGCGATTTTTCTAGCGGACAAAGTCTTCTCGCTGTCGCAGGAAAAAGACGTACTGATTGATGATGTTGCTGTGGTTTTTGTGCTGTCAGTAGAGCTGAGTCAACATGTGACTGCTCTAATTTCGCTGTAAGATACTCCGCATGTGAAGAAAAAACTCATTTTCACAACAGGATTTGTTCACGCTTGCAGAGTGCCTTTTCCAGAACAAGGAGTTTGCCAGGGTGATCTTTTTGCTGACGCACCGCCATCCGGACGCCGCGAAGTCACAAGACCGGCTTCGGTAAAATGCAGTTGCTGCTGACGATTACAAATGCACAATTTTAAGTAGGCTTGTGGCGTCCACCACCACCTCCAGCAGCGTGTTGAGTAGATTCAGCGGCAAGTAGTTGAAATGATGATCCTCATAAAAATGAATTCGCACTCACAAACTACCAGGCTCCTCGTCGTTCAGAGCTACCTGGAGGCCGGCGAGTTCGAGGAAGCCCTTCGCTATCTCGACGAACATTGCCTGCCTTCCGGCATCGGCATCGAACAATTCGAGCGTGGCGACAACCGGGCGGTTTTTGCGTACCTGAAGGGGCGCGTCTTCGAGCACTTTGAGAACCGGGAAAGCGCGGTGAACTGCTACAAGCTCGCGGTCCAGTATGATCCGTTTCTTTACGAAGCGAGCTCACGGTTGCTGGGCACCGGGCTGCTTTCCAGCACGGAAGAGGAGCGGTTTTTAAACAAACTGCAGCTAGAACCGGAAGATGAGTGGATGCGGGTCATTTACCGTGCGAAAAGCAGCTCGTCGAGCGTGTCCTACTGTGTGCCACTGCATGAACAACAACACGGTGGGACAAGCAATTCCGATTGCGAGGGCAACAATTCTTCGCTGTCCACGTTCAGCAAGCAGAGCACTTTCACGGCCGAGCACATTCTGAAGCGCAAACCCGGTATCGCACAGCGCCGAAGACGCGGTCCGCGGCAAAAGCGGCAGCGCTTGTCGCTGCAACCGCTGGAGGACTGCAAGAAGGAGGAGCCACTCGTTGGTTTACCAGAGCGACTGCACACGAACGCATACGTGCTCGGAACCGTCGCAGAAAAGTACTTCCAGCAGGTAAGTCGATATTATGCAAAGTATAGTAAGTATTTAATCGTAATGCTGTATCTCTATCTGCTCTACATAAGCATTAGCATAGCGAAAAAACCTTCTAGGTGGCCTTCTTGGTGCTTTCGATCTGTGAGTGACATAGTGCAAAAATTTTGTTTAACTCGCACTGCCACTGCAGTGTCTCATCTACTTCCTTTCCCATTTCCGCATCTAGGGCGACTACACCTCGAGTTACGTGGTTTCGAAGTCTATTCTCGAACGGGACCCGTACGAGCTGGAAGTGCTTCCCTGTCACATCGCCTCCCTGCTGATGACGGAGAACAAGACGTTGGTTTTCTACATCGCGCACCAGTTAATCAATGCCTACCCGCAATACGCGGTCGCCTGGTTCGCCGCCGGCTGCTACTACTACCTCTCGAAACGCTACGACGCAGCCCGGAAATTCTTTGGCAAAGCCACACTGCTGGACCACAATTTTACGCCGGCGTGGATCGCGTATAGCAAAATCAAATATTTGCAACTTTTTTCAATACAACTAGAACTAGCCACGTTTCAGAAGTAGTTATTTCTTGCAGAGGATAACCTGAAACGATGAGCCGCGTACTAGCGCGTCATTCGCTCGTAGCGACGATGACGCAACGTAGTGGGTCGTGGGATCCAGTCGTGATTTATTGTTTGAATCAAACTAGGTACGGCCATTCCTTTTCCCTGCAGGAAGAAAGCGACCAGGCGCTTGCGGCGTACCGCACGGCCTCGAGACTTTTTCCCGGATCGCACGTTCCTTGGTTGTACTTGGGGATGGAATACCTCCGGTCCTCCAACTTCATTCTAGCGCAGCAGGCGCTGCACATGGGCCTCACCATAGCGCCGAAAGATCCAAATCTGCTGAACGAGATGGCTGTCTGTGCCTTCGAGCGGCACGAATACACGTACATAGGAAACAGAAGTGTTTTTTTCGTCTAGTCATATAGTAGAATGAGCAAATAAAGCGAACCCATGCACTAGTATCTATGCAAGGCGCGTCGCAAGAACTCGAAAGATTCAGATTGACTTTTTGAACTACAGTCTCAAAGCCATTGACGTCGTACTGTATCACAGCCACGCCGTTGCTTTTCTGGAGCGTGTGCAGGAGCTTGGCGGCGTCGCGCAGGACGGCAGTCTCGACGCATTTTTGGAAAACCTGGCGCACGCGTACCTGAAGTGCCAGGAATACGAAAAAGCGTTGGATTTCTTCCACCAAGCCTTGGCGGCCTCGAACCAGGGCTCCGCGTCGGCGCACTGTGGCGTCGGGTTCGTCCGGCACATCAACCGCGAACTGCACGCGGCGGTGGAATCTTACCACCGGGCGCTGGCTCTACAGCCTGACGATCCCTTTGCGCAAGAGATGTTGGGCTACGCGATTCAGGAATGCGTGGCCGAGCCGGACAACGACGCGTTGCTACTGCTGTAGAAGTAGAGTCGCAATTGTTCAACCTTTACTTTTTGCAGCACTTCGTTCTTGCGGCTACTGCATATGCATTCGCAGTGTACAAACACATAAAAGCAAAAAGATGAAGGCCAACAAATCATTCATTGAGACGAGCGATTCATTTACAGACGCCATTGTCCTCACCAGGGCGAGAGTCTTCTCACATAGAAGTGCGCTCTGTTTCAAGTTTGAGATTTGGAGGTGTGTTCTTGACTCGTGACTACATGATCCAAGCGAGGATCAATATCATTGAGGAGCACAGCAAATGACAGAGCTGGAAGTTATGACGGCACGATGCAAATCGGTCGAAAAGTCAGCTCGGTTTGCTTTCAACTCCCATGCGATATGATCTACTGGCGTATGCAAGTACTATTTTTGTATTTGCGCCGTCGTGAGATCTTGCACTTGCTCTTGCGGTATGCAGTGTGCTGAACTTGGTCTTGATCTTGTTCTGGCTGGACGTCGCAGATCTTCACGCGTGGTAGTTCTGCGAGTCGCGAGCGCTCTAACTCTGCTGGTGTGGAATCGTAAGCGAATATGGCAGCAGCAGCCAACTAAGTCCGAAGAACTGTAGTTTCTTGCTGCAACTACAAGGTAAACATATTCTAATCGTAATCGTCATGTCATTTCCCCAAAAACAAACGCAAACCAGTACCAAATCGACGCGAGAAAGTATTGCCACGACGACAGTATAGAAGCTGCAAGTGCAAACAGCTGCTAGAGCCCGTACCACAATTATAAACACGAACACGGCTAGTACGTTCGTCGGACTCATCTTCACGCTTTTTCCTACTTCCTTCTTGTGGTTGTTTCACATTGAAAATGCCGTTCGATAATATGCGCGACCCGCTGGCTGTGTTCGAGGAGAAGGATATGCAGTCTTACGGGCTTTCCCGTCGGCCGACGACGGCCGACAAAATTGCTATGATGGTGCAAATACAGAAAGAGCTGGAGAAGCCGGTGTTTCGCCCCAAAACCCGCGTTGTGCTGCGGAACCTGGTAGCGCGGCCGGAGCTGAATGGGCGGCTCGGGGAGGTCGTGACCGAGCTGAAGGAGAAGGGGCGCTTTCGGGTGAAGCTGCTCGCGGAGCCCGACGCAGAGGCGGAGGTGGTTGAAGAGGAAACTCCAGATAACGCAATAAAGACGGGCGTCAAAAATGGTGACGAACAAACTAAAGACCCATTTTTCGGGGATCATCAGGATGATGTGGCAAGTCCTACCGCTAGTACTACTACCACTTCCTCCACAGAAGAACGGGGGGCGCCCGACGAAAGCGCGGAAATGCTCGCGGTGAAGCCGGAAAATTTGCAGGAAGCACGGGGCAAGGACAAGTGGATACGCGTCACGTACTCCGTCACCATAAATTCCGTGACGAGCAACGGGGAGGACGGTCCGCGCGCGTTCCCGAAGGACGTGCGGTTGCGTGCACCCCTCGACTATGTCTTAGATCACCCTTTGGAGGAGGACTTCGCTCGGCCCTGGTGGCTGCAGCCGATCCCACAGCAGAAAAAAGTTTTCACTTTGCCGCACGAACACCACGGGCAAATGGATGAAATATTAGATGCGAAAAACAAAAAGAAGCAACCACCTGCTGCTCAGGACGGGGGCGCGAAAAACAAAGGAGACGAAGAACTAGAGCCTGACAATCAATCCAAGAGCCCAGCGACAGCACCCGCCAGGGACGTAGATCGCAAAGAACCAGCAGCTGCTGCTTTCGCCGATGCCGGTCTTCCAAAATATGAGTACAAACCTCTCATCGCCGAGAATCTCGTGCAGAGAAAGGAAAAGTATGATGATTACGATTGGCTCGTCGACTGCTACCGCATGCGCCTCAGTGACGAAATGTACTGGTGTGTTGGCTCCACGTACAATGGCGAGCACCCGGATATGAAGATCGAGGGGCGAAAGTTTTACCCTAACCGCCGTGGTTTTTACGCCCAGGCCAGGTCGGCCACAGAGCTCAAGAAACTGATTCTACTAGATTTGGCGCTGTTTCTCGGGTTGTGTGCGTTCAAGAAGATGTTGCCACCCGACTTCGATACTGAGAAGTTTCTCAGCGCTGCGCGAAGGGAAAACAAGCTTGTGACGCCGTTTCCAAAGTCGATGGCCATTGACAAGTGGGGGGGCGAAAATGTCTTTTGCCACTGCCGCTCGCTGCGCCGCACGGCGGAAGCAATCTATGGAACGCCGCTGGCGGACCTGAGCAAAGACCCCATCTACAATCGGCTTGTGCGTGCCTGGCGTGACGAACTGCACCTGGAAAAGCCGCCACCCGATCAATGGGCTGAGTCGAAGGACGAACTTCCTCCAGCTGCTAGTCCCGATGGAACTGCAACTGCTACCAGCAGTGCAGAGTCACAAAATGCCACTCGGCCGGTGCATTTCACAACGTTGCTGGAAAATTTTTTTCTGAACAACAGGCTCCTCACGCGCATGGCCCCCAATCCTTTCGCGAACGACAACATCAAGCGCTTGTGGGAGACGAACTTTTTGAAACACCCCGATTTCCTCATTCCGGCGGAGCTGGTGGAGCGGTGCGCGACCCTGTCGGAAAACATTGACACGGAGGCCTACTCGATCAAAATCTTTCCCTGGGAAGAGGAAAGACCCCCCGGGAACAGTGCGGTTCGCATTGTCCGAATGATTCACGCGACGTCGTCGAAACTTTTTCACCTTCCGCTCGAGCACAACATCGATGACCTGTGCCTCTTCACATTAAAAGAACTGGCCCCGGCTTCGTTGGACGCAATTGCGTCGATGCACACCAAAACGATGGGGCAGGGTGCGGAGGAAATCAACGCATTTGTGGAAGACGTCAAGCAGAAGTACGGAATCCGGCACCAGCCCTTTCACACTCGTTCTACGCAGAAGTAGGCTGGATTTGGATTCTATGTAGCTAGTAGGTCGTGCAAGGTCCGCTGACAAAGCCATCTACTGAATGTCTTTCCGTACAAGAGTTGGACAAAAGCAGAGGAAATCCATGGGCTAAAGCGTATTCAAGTTCATTCCGTTCTTGTTACCAGGTAGTTGTATTGGTTCTGTCAGTCTCGTTGATTCCATTAACGATACACCCTAGGGACTTCTCGTATCTGACTGTGAAGCTGTTGATCATAGAGCGCCATACCCTTGTGTATGTTTGTGCATGTGCCGCACAGAAAAGTGAAAAATGAACGAAGGAGAAAGAAAACATCAACATCGATCAAAAAACAGCAAGGAAGGACAACGAAACAAGAATGTCCCAGGGATAGTCTACTACCACAGTATGGCGTTCTTTTCCGTAGTCAGTCTAGGTATTCCTGCTCAGCGCTCGTCCCGCAGACTGGCCATTCGTATCGTGAGCGAGTCGAATTAGGTTTTTTCTTTTTGTTTGTAACTTCCCCTTGATTCAGATTCATTTTTTTTCGTCGTCGTTGAAGGCTGAGTGTGCTCGTGCTGTGTGATTTTTTATATCCGTTAAGAGTGAACATGGCTTTGCGCAAGGGCGAGATCGTGTTCGTGCTCGTAGTTGTATTAGCGAGTGTGAGTCAGAGTGGTATCGTAGTCGTTTCGTGCTCTTTTCTATGGTTTCCGAAGTCGCAAAACCCCTCAATTTTATCGTGTCAGTCTTTCTCCAAAAAAATCTGTAGCCACAATTGTGTGTCGAGCAGGAAGTTCACTATTGGTACCGATTACTAATAGAATCATTCCCCGAAACAGGAGATTTGCTTCGTCTTTGAAGTCGTTTTCGTTCGGACTCGCCAGTAGGACAGAATATTCTCCTCGATCATAAAAAAGAAAAACGTAATCCTCCACAACACTCACGCCAAAAGATGTTGCTTCGTTCCTTCTCGCTTGCAATCGTTGCCGATAACGGTGTGGGTACGAGTTCGCACGTGCTGCGGACCGAGAGAACCGGGCTGGCACAACCTACTACCGGGCTGGAGGACCCCCATGGCTTACCGCCATCCGAAGCGTTTGACCATGCTGAAAATGGAGACTCTTCGACAGGTTCGGGCGGCGTCGCCGTCACCATCGCTCCGCTTTTTCCACTGGCCGAAGGCGAAGATGGCGTGGACGAAACGGTGGATGCTGGAAAAGGCAGCGCAGCTCCGGTGGCCGTCAACGTCCAGCAACCGCAGCACACTGCGCAAGACGACCATACAGGCCCTGCGGCAGTGTCTGTCGAATTGCTGTCAAGCGGGCACGCCGACGCTGCGGCCGGTGGTGCGAACGGTGAGCTCGAGCAGGGGGAGGCGGTCGGAAAGAGGTCGTCTCGGGGACTCTGGTTGCGTCGGGAGCCGCGCGCTGAGGCTGTGCAGGCGCTCAAGGCCGCCATTGGCGAAAGTCAAAAGAAGCGAGGGAATTTCTGGGTACTGGCTTCTGTTGGTCAGGAACAAAGAAACTCTGGTCTGGACATTACTTCGTTTTATTGCGACTCGGGCTGCTTTTAGAGACATCGACTCAACATACTAGTCTAGGTGAACACCTCTTGTTTATTCGAAAAACAAAAACCAACAACAGGAACACTACCTCCGCCACGCCCAGGGTTTCGCGTTGCTTCTGTCGGGCATCTTACTCGGATTTCTTTTCGCACGGCAAGGGCGCAGCTCGGGAGTCCATTCAGTGCAGCAGCCGACCGCGTTAGCGAAGAGCGGGGGGCTAACGGGAGAGAGAAAGAGCTCCAGTCAATCACTGTACGTCTACAAGTTGTCGACCTCTTTAAGTGATGATAAAAGATGAACTGTTTTCTTGGTCTTCCTCGTTCCCTGCTTTCCACTTCTAATTTATGAAAACTCCATAGCAAATCCAATCTCTCTTGTTCACAGCCCCCTGCTTCTCCCGACCACTCCAGTCCTGTTCCCCACCACGCCGCGCAGCACGAAGGGCGACGCCTTCTTCCTGCACCCGGCTGCTGGCAATTCCGAGATGCTCTCCGAGATGCTTTCCCCCATTGCTGTGGAGCGGAGCCCGACGCTGAGTGACGTGATGGAGGAGATTGAGATGGAGACCAGCACCAGCAGTTGTAGTGAACAATCCAGCGGCAGTGACTACGAGACAGACACGTCCATTGCGACGTCGTCCAGTGAAGAAGAGAGCTCCCTCATCGGCGCCACGGAGATCCGGTTTAACATCACGCCGCCGGCCAGCATGGGATTCTTCTACAAGCTGTTCGGCATTGGCGGAGACGCCAACGCGGATGGTGAACTGCGGGAGGAAATCCTGGTCACTTCGTGAGGTGGAACAAGGCATTCGATACTTTGACCTACCGACATCGTTTTGTTCATCCACGGTAGCTGAAGACCTACGACTTGAAATTGTATGAAAAGAAAGCACTATCTCTATCACCTCTCCACCTGCTTTTGTTTTCGCGGACCGCAAGTCCACCTGCAGTGAGATGGAAATCCAAAACAAATAGGGTGTACTTCTGTTTCTATTTCTGATGACTATGTATACGGTTCTTTCAGTCTAGTACGACCAACGCGCGCCAGAAACGTAATTGATGACACCAGTTCTTGTACTATCGCCTTCTCCCATTTAGACAAGGAAAATTCCAGAAGTACATCAAAAATCGAGCACCCCCCTCCCGTGGGGTGACGGGACAGGCGGTTGGCTCGGGTAGGCTTCATCTAGGTGGCGGCTTTCTTCAGTGGGTCCCACACAACCGGAAACGCCGCCGGCTTCGGCGTTCGTCTTCCGTCACCACCCAGAGCAACACCACGACAATACTTCAAGAATTCTGCGGCCAGGTCTTTCCGGATCCAATGAGCAATGGCCGTCTCCTGGAAAGTCGCGCCGCGGGGCCAATCCAAGGGCCCCCCTTTTGCCCAAGAAAAAGCACCCCCAAAAAGCACCCCCCTTGGCGTTCCTTCCCCCGACCTAAAATGGCCGATTTCGGAATCAAAAAAAGTACCCCCCTCAGGCACCCCCCTGGAGGGGGGCCCCTGGGTTCCGCCTGTCGCCTTTGTAGAGTTTTGGCCGGCCTTGTTTGTAAACGAGCCCCCGAGCCAGTTGCGCCAAAGGCGAAACACTTGCGCGGCAGATGCGCGCTTGCCCTTTCTACTCGAGAAGGAGTCGCGGCTGGTCCGGGCCGATAGGCTTGCAGAAATGGGGCGGGCCGCTACTAGCCGCAACGCAGACAAATCATCTCGCCCCGCCGCCACCCCGTGGGAGGGGGGTGCTCGATTTTTGATGTACTTCTGGAATTTTCCTTGTCTAATCCCTGTATGTGTACCAGCAAAATAATGACGGTTTCTTGCTTCCTTCCTCACGAATTGTATTGAAGACCGACGGGGAAAAGAAGCGTGACGGATCTTTGTATGCCTGTACCTACTATATGTATGTTTCATAGATAGTAAACCTCCTTCTACGCGCAAGCAAAAACACTATCCAAGTCTGATATCAGAGAAGTTCGATTTCGAGAACCAACAAACGAAAAACTCAATAGACTTCTTGTACGATAGTTGCCCAAACAGAAAAGAGAAAGTGACGCTGTGAGACCCAGAAATCAATGGATTCCGCTCGGGCAAGGTCGTTTAAGGTTTCCCGGGAAACCTTCGGCTTCGCTCGTGCTAAAGTGTGTTGCAATGCAACCGAAAACGCGGCGCGCGCAAGGACGCCGCTGCTGTTTGTGTGCACAACCGCGCCGCGTCTGCGTTGCAGTCTCGTGCGCCCAAATCGCCACAGTCGGCTGCGGATTGCGAGCAACCTGGCGGCCCCGGCAAACCGGCGCACATTTTCGCAGAGGATTCCGCAGGGGATTCCTCAGAGGATTCCAAAATCCTCTCAGGAATCCTCTGGCCCAAGTTGAGCCGTCCCTCGCGCCCTTTCCCCGACGGCAGTGCCTCGATTTCGCGGGAGGATTCCACAGAGGATTCCTCAGAGGATTCCAAAATCCTCTCAGGAATCCTCTGGCCCAAGTCGAGCCGTCTTCCGCGCCCTTTCCCCGACGGCGGTGCCTCGATTTCGGGGGAGGATTCCACAGAGGATTCCGCAGAGGATTCCAAAATCCTCTCAGGAATCCTCTGGCCCAAGTTGAGCCGTCCCTCGCGCCCTTTCCTCAGGCGGACAGGCCCGGGCGCCTTCCGGTTCTAATTATCAATTAAAATCCGGCTAATTTGCGAGCGTGTGGAGCCCCTTGGCGTCGGGTTGGTTGCGTGCCGAATCTCGTTGCGCAACGTATTGGGAACATTCGGCGCGCCGTTATTCAAATGGGGGCCCGCGGCCTCCTGGTTTTGCCGATTTCGCGGCGATGGCGCCTTTCGCTTTGTGGCATTGCCGCCGGCGGTTCGTCCCCCTTGGGCCTGGAAGTCGTGTCCGGCCGCCGGGGGCGTGTTCTGGCTTGGCGTTCAGCCTGTGGCCTTTCCGGCTTGGCGCGTGTCTGTGTGTGTTCTGGGCAGGGTGTGGCGGGCCGACGGATTTTGGTCCGGCAGGGGATTTCGTGTTTGGTCCTGTGTTTTCCTTCTTCTTCGCCTGGGGGCGGGCATGGGCGTGGGCATTTCAAACATGGCATCGGCCATGTTTGACATGCCCGCCAAAAGCCCCGGGAACACCTCCATGAAAATTCTAATTTGAAATTCTAATTGGAAAACGGGCCTCATTTAGGCGCTTCTAATCTGCGCCTAATTTGCAGCTAATCCGCGCCTAATTTGCAGCTAATGTAGCGGCTAATAGGCGCTAATTGGCTGGCTAATTTGCAGCGGCCGAAAATCGTTACCGATTTCCCTGTGCAAAACCGACGAAATTTTGCACAAGGAAATCGGGAACGATTTTTCCGGCGGGGGGGCCGGGGGCCTCTGCAAATTAGATGCAGATTAAAGAGCATATTAGACACGGTTCCAAAAAAATTAGATTTCAGATTAGCTACCTTTTTTTCGGGGGGCCGCGGGGTGTCCCCGGACGCAAATTAGACACGAAACCGGCGCGCGCCGGACACAAATTTGAAGCCGATTCTAATTTGTGCCCTTTCATTTTGGTCCGGCCGATGTTTGCCCGCCCGCGCCCTCTCTTCGAATTTGAATGGCCTGCGGCCGGGCCTTTGATTGGTTGGGCGCCGCGTGCATCGGCTTGCGCTGGCGCCATGAATTCTCTTGGTGGGCCTTTCTTTGTGTTCCGGCAAGGCTTTGGGCCGGGCGGGGTGGGTGTGGTGTTTCTCCGTTCCGGGTTGCTTTTTTTGCCTGATTTTGGGCCCTGTTGATTCCGTTGCGCCCGCCAGTGGAGCAGCAATGGTCGGAGGGTTTGGCTCTTCGAGGAGGCATCGCCCTCGGGCTAGGATGTTCGGCCGGGGTGTTTTTTTCTGCGCCTGCGCCTTCTTTTGGTTCTCAAATTAGACAACTTTCAGAGACCAATTAGAAAAAGAGGTCGCCCGGGCCTGTCCGCCTGACCTTTCCCCGACGGCAGTGCCTCGATTTCGGGGGAGGATTCCCCAGAGGATTCCACAGAGGATTCCTCAGAGGATTCCGAAATCCTCTCAGGAATCCTCTGGCCCAAGTTGAGCCGTCTTCCGCGCCCTTTCCCCGACGGCAGTGCCTCGATTTCGGGGGAGGATTCCGCAGAGGCTTCCAAAATCCTCCCAGGAATCCTCTGGCCCAAGTTGCGCCGTCCCTCGCGCCCTTTCCCCGACGGCAGTGCCTCGATTTCGGGGGAGGATTCCACAGAGGATTCCGCAGAGGATTCCTCAGGGGATTCCAAAATCCTCTCAGGAATCCTCTGGCCCAGGTTGGTCCGTCTTCCACGCCCTTACCCCGGCGGCACTACCTCGATTTCGCGAGAGGATTCCGCAGAGGATTCTGCAGAGGATTCCAAAATCCCCTCAGGAATCCTCTGGCCCAAGTTGGCCCGTCCCTCGCGCCCTTTCCCCGACGGCACTGCCTCGATTTCGGGCGCGGATTCCACAGAGGATTCCGCAGAGGATTCCAAAATCCTCTCAGGAATCCTCTGGCCCAAGTTGAGCCGTCTTCCGCGCCCTTCCCCCGGCGGTATTGCCTCGATTTCGGAAGAGGATTCGTCCCTGAGAGGATTCCAAAATCCTCTCCGGAATCCTCTGGCCGGATTCGCGCCGTCCTTCGCGGTCTTTCCCCGGCGGCACAGTGTCGATTTCGGGCACCGCGGCAAACCGGCGCACATTTTGGAAGATTTTGGAACGCACTCGAGTGCAGGGCATCGCGGCAGACCGGCGCGCACTCCCTCGATTCTCAAGGCCTCGGGTGGTTGTGCGAACGCCTCTTGTTTCTGTGTGGTTGTCAAATCTCGATCCTGCTGTTGGTTGTCAAAGCGGCGCTTTGACAACCAGCAACACACTGACAACTTGTAAGAACCAAGCCGAAGCAAGAAATGTGCGCCGGTTTGCCGGTGCCCGTGCCCGTGCCCACCGCCAACGCGGCAAGGGCAGGGACCCCTAAGGCTGGATCGAGCCTCTGGCGCAAGGGCGCACCCGCCCCGGGCTGGCCGGGTGTCCGTCGGGGAGGGAGTGAAACCCCGCACCGCCGGCGCAGTCCGAGGGGCAAGCACGAATATCGGATCCCTCCTGGCAAGGGGAGATCCCCGGAGGCTGGAGCGAACGCACCGGGGTGAGGGCGGATCCCCCGAGCTGAGGAGGATCCCCCCAAAGAAAGTTCGTAGGCTGGACCCCCCCCAGCAAAGGCGCGACCCAGGGCGCGCGGATCCGCGGGAGGCGGACCGGCCCTCCGGGGCGAGGGCGGACCCCCCGGGGCGCGGGCGGATCCCCCGGAAAGCAGGCGGATCCCCCTCAGAACAGGCGGATCCCCGGGGAGCGGGCGGATCCCCCGGAGAGCAGGCGGATCCCCCGGGCGAAGGCGGATCCCCCGGGGTGCGGGCGGAGCCCCCGGGGAACGGGCGTATCCCCCGGGAACGGGCGGATGCCCGAGGAACAAGCGGATCCCCTGGGCGAGGGCGGATCCCCGGGGAACGGGCGGATCCCCGGGGAGCGGGTGGATCCCCGAGTAGCAGGCGGATCCCTTGGGCGAAGGCGGATCCCCGGGGAACGGGCGGACCCCCTGGGCGAAGGCGGATCCCCGGGGAGCGGGCGGATCCCCTGAGCGAAGGCGGATCCCCGGGGAACGGGCGGATCCCCTGAGCGAAGGCGGATCCCCGGGGAACGGGCGGATCCCCTGAGCGAAGGCGGATCCCCGGGGAAGGGGCGGATCCCCTGGGACCGGGCGGACCCCCTGGGCGAAGGCGGATCCCCGGGGAGCGGGCGGATCCCCTGCGCGCAGGCGGATCCCCGGGGAACGGGCGGATCCCCTGAGCGAAGGCGGATCCCCGGGGAACGGGCGGATCCCCTGGGACCGGGCGGATCCCCTGCGCGAAGGCGGATCCCCGGGGAGCGGGCGGATCCCCTGAGCGAAGGCGGTTCCCCGGGGAAGGGGCGGATCCCCTGGGCGAAGGCGGATCCCCGGGGAACGGGCGGATCCCCTGGGCGAAGGCGGATCCCCGGGGAGCGGGCGGATCCCCGAGTAACAGGCGGATCCCCGGGGAACGGGCGGATCCCCGTGGAAAAGGCAGATCCCCCAAAAAACAAGAGAAATCGAAATCGCGATGCTATGAGTATTTATTTTGCGTCATTCTAAACACAAGAAAACCACGCTGCCGTCGTGTTTCGCTGGTTTGGGTCTCAGGGCGTCAGGGTCTCACAGAAAAATAACATTTGAACAACTTGCTGTGGCACCTTCGCCTACAACAAAAACGGCTATGAAAGATGTACGAATTTCAGCTCGCGTTGGAAAGAAACCGAAAACGAAGATCGATCATGTTGTCGGTGGGAATGCCAACGTAGAGGGACGCCATGATTGATTTTCGAGAGCGTTTATATCGGAATCTTTATCAACATATCGAAATCGATTCTTGCTATTGTCGTTCTTTCGCCCCATTGCGTGTATATGTATTCGCATTGTGGCCTCGAGCAAAATGATTTTGGTCGCTAATTCCTAATTTCTAGCTCGCTATCCTATTAGGTGCGTTGGGAAAGAAAGTCCCAAGTCTAAACATTCTTCTTCTTGTTGTAGGTAACCTCTGTAAAAAATCCTCGTCGTATTTTTATCTTGTTTGTCGAGTAAGGCGGTAGACCAAGCGCTTCTCCTGTCCCTGATCACAGAGAAACAAATCAAGTATCTGACAAAAAATGCCCTCCTCCGGCGCATCTTCTTCATCGTCATCCACCACGGCGGGAGCCGGAGGCACGCGTCGTGAAGATGTACAAAATGCGAAGAAGACGCTTTCCGACTTGTTAGTGCGCAGTGCTGGAAAGGATTACGATGACTGGCTCGCGGCAATGGAAAAGATCGAAGCAGAAACACGGGCGATTTGTTTCCAGAAGCTTGTGGTGGGGTCAATGGTACCACTTCTATTGATAATGTATTTGTTTAAGAGACTTGTAGTAATACATAGCAATAGCTGATTGTACTTCGAAGGAAATTGATTTCGTAGGCCTTACGAAATTATTTTATTTGGCAGGTCAACGCTTGGCAGTTCTCCGTGTTTCACGTGAGGAAGGGGAAAGGTGGCGATTTTGGTTTGTCCAAGCTGCCGCCGGATGTGTACGGGGTGATTCGTGCTTTTGTCGGGCCAGTATTTAACAACCGAAAGTCGACTTTCAAGACGTTAACTGCTGAGACACTTGTAGACCGTTCAGAACAGCAGAGGGCACGCGACGTGAAGCGAGCTGTGGAGCACGTATTAGATCTGCTAGCCCAGCGCGCTGCTATCGGTTCAGGGTTCCTAGTGCTTTCCCGCGAGATGGTTGACGCCATACCGAAAATGTCGGACGACTCAGCGGCGCCCCTCGACCAGATTTTTGCTGTTTTGGATTCCGTGCACGGCTACTCGATCTGCGATGGAACAGGGATGTATTTCAATTTGCGGGGAAATCAACATCGCTTCAGTGCCGATGCTTTCCCGTTTCGAATGGTTTTCAACGGCGCCGAAAATCCTGCAGATGAAGATGCTGCCTACATGGCGCACCTCGTGAAGGGGCTGCCCGACGTCAGCGGAGGCGGCCGCATGGGTCACCGCAACGTGGGTCTTCCCGTCGAGTCCGTGTCCTCGTGCGCCACCGCAAGTCGCTTCATGCTGGTATTTGAGCAGGCGCTTCGAAAAACCCGGGAGGAAGTTTTGCAGTGGATTACGGGTCTTGCGGAGGAAGCTTTCTCGAGGGCGGAGTTGTGGCTGGAAATAACTCAGGAAGTGTACGAAGCGCAGGCTCCGAAACTTCCGGATGGGCGTGTTTATCCGATGCGAGCAGCGCAAGTGAACGACATGCACCCGGAGGCTTGTGAGGCCAACGATGAGGACAGCTGGGCGATTTTCTCGCTCCTATACGCGAACCTCGGTCTTGTTTGTGCGTTGAGCTTCTACGGAGAAGACGACAAATGGTTACTGAAATTGCGAGCTGCAAGATAATAGGATCCGATCGACGAAAAAAAAGCTCTGAACGTCATCGAGCAGGAAAGAGTCTCCTTGATAGAGATACGACGGCTCTCCTACCCAAAACCGAATGCATCACTGCGCCCCGCCAATGTTTTTACCCAATGACCAAAAACTTACCAACAAGGAAGAAAGGGCAAGAAGATTTTTTTAGAATCAGCCGAGGAAGCAAGTTCGTTGCGAAAGCGTGTTAGTGCCAGGTTGCGGCAATTTGGCCATAGCAAACCCGTAACCGTTCGACTACTCATTCACGCACGAGATGTGGGAAAATATTGATGGCAGTATTCGTCCTCGAGGTTGCGTATGATGAAGCTTATCGAGGGTCTTTTTGCCTCTCCCTTTGGAGGTGAGTTCAGAATTCTATATTCTCCCTTTGACTTCGATTTTCGTTAGTTTATCTTGGTTTGATGTTTGACTATGGAAATGCCACACACTAGCACTAAAATATGTAGGTAAAAAAGTAATGTACCAAGTCAAATTATTGGTGAAACCAAGGCTGCAAGAAGCAGAATTACAAGATCATGGCGTCCTCCTCCTCCTCGGCGAGCTCCTCGACAGCCAACGATGGCACGACCAACGTGTCCCAGCAACAGAGGCAGAAGACCTTCAACGACCTTCTTGTGCGCGCTGGTCGGAACGTGAGCTACAATGACTGGCTGATATCCTTGGAGGATACCGAAGCAAAGACTCGCGAACTCCGTTATCAAAAACGGGTCCTGGGTGCGCAGGTACGTGATTTTCTGTCGGAGGCTTGATTCATGATTGTCTTCCCCGTGATTCTTGTTCTACGTCGTTTGGAATGGTGCGATAATCCGTTCGCGTAACACCCTCTGTGTTGATATTAAGCAGATGATACTGATAGATGAAAAAATGGACGAAGGTCTTGACACCAAAAAACCAAATAAAGCTGCTCTGTTGCATTTTGGCGCAAATAAATCAGGTAAACGCTTGGCAGTTCTGCGTCTTCCACAAGAAGCGAACATCTGCGATGCCTTCCTCTACCAGAGTTTCTTTGCCGTCCGACGTCGTGAGCACTATTTCGTTCCTTCTTGGGAAGCGCCAAAGCGGTCTGCAGCGACAAGCTTCGTCGAGCCCAGCTCGAGAGGATCTCTGACAAGCTGTGCGGACGCGATTGGCTGAAAATTGCCGACCACTTTATAGGTCTAATGCACGCGGATGCAGCCAAGGGCGCAGGCAGTTTTCAAATTTCACGGGAATTGTTTGCAGCAGCGCCGAAAATGTCGGATGGGAGCACTTCGCACATCGGTAATGTCCTCGCTGCGCTGGAAGTGAAAGGATTCGACATTTACGACGCAGAGGGTGAAGAGTACTTCTCTGACACCGTGAGACCAGACCCCAACGCGTTCCCGTTCTCGATTTGCTTCAACGCTCACTTCAGCGACCAAGATTTGTCAACCTTTGCGGCGCCCCTCTTGAAAGACCTAGAGAACAAGAGCGGCATATATGCGGATGAAAGCGACCCCGGTCGCGGTCCCAGAGATCATGAATCAGGGGAGAACAGCACGCAGACTGTACCAGTGACAGGTGGTACTAAACTTGCGGGCATCTTGGAAGCAGCTCTTCGTAAAACGCGCGTCAAAGTGCTCAATTACATAGTCGACGAAGCAGAAAAATCGTTTGCGCAAGCAGATATGTCTTTTCTACTCACCGAGGAAATGTACGAAGCGGGGCCGAAGCTGCCGAATGGAAAAACGTATCCACTTTACACCGCTGATCTTAAAGATTTTCATCCCGCATGGGATACTATCGATATTTATTACGAGTTCGCGATGTATTATCGAATTCAGCTAGTTCCCGGACTTGGTGTGAAGACGCCCGATGATGGCGGTCGGTTTCCGCTCAAGGTGTATCTTAAGCGGTGAACTTCGCTTGATACATCAATTGCAAATCTCTGCGACGGCGGCCGCTCTGTACTAAAGAAGTGCGGGTTTGAGCAGCGAGATATAATTATAAACATGATGCTAGTAGGGCGGGAGAAGTAGAGGATTCAGAAAGTAGAAAGAGCTCTGCTTTGTAAAATGAAAATCTCGTTGACGGAAACGAGATGGAACTGAGTACAATCTAGTGCTTTGATGAAGAAATTGCATCAAATAACAACCTGCGCCGATGTCTGCACCAGTTCACGCACGCAGCGGCCAAAGGGATTACTTTACAAATAGGTACTTATACTTTCTGCTGCCAGGAGGATAAGATGTTCTTTGCTTTCGATACGATACATGGATTGAGGTTCTGGCAGCGTAAAAAATCATATTCGCTGCTGCAGCAGGCTTGGTTCATGCGCGGTTAGTTACATACAAATATTTAGCTACTCCTACTTCTAAACCTCCTCCAAGAAAAGAAGACACTTGCTGCTCTTGATGAACTCGGTGCGCAACCAAATGGAATCGTCGTCATGCGGTTTTCCTATTCATTCTCGGTCGTCACCAATTTGTTTCGGTTCTCAGATAATTGATATACACGCGGCCAGCGCCAGGTCAACAACCCCGGCTCGTCCAGTCTGTTTTCGTTTTTGAGACGGTGTCGGTGTGTTGTGGTACAAATCGATGTCTGCTTGCCCCAATCGGTGTTCGGTCTTGACGATTCCGCATCAACTACTACAGCAGTGCGGGAGATCATAGCTTAGAAAATTTTAAAACATACATACATGATAGATGAGTAAATAGCACGGATACAGAGTCTGTCACGCTCGGATTCACATTTGGTTTTGGAAGATCCAAATGATGCATCCATTAGATTACGGTCTTAACCGAAAATAAATGCAAGAATTAGGATGCACATGCATCTCTCTGATGATTAACCTTAATTTTCTGTGGAAATCGAAAAAGCTAATAAATAGTCGCTACCTCCAGCTCCACCCGTCAAATCATATCAACAGTGCCTATGCTAGGAACTCGTTATTTTGTGCTAGCTTTGTAGTTGTAGGGTTTTCAGGGTCTATATGGGTTTAGGAAATAAATCGAAGTCGAGAAGCACGAGCTGAGCATTTCCTCTTGTTACATTCATTTTTCCAACTTCTCTCTTCGCTTTGGAACACGCCCCACAGAAGCGAAAGAAACTATGGCGCCGAACAGCGACGTTCTGGAGGACCTCACCATGGTGATGTCGGCGTACCCGGTTCACTTCATGGCATACGAGGGCGGTCTGTGCCAGGACAAGTGGAATACGGGGAGCAAAACCGTGATGCGGGTCGGCAACGGCCCGCGCAGCTCGGAGGTGGTGGACGAGATGAAGAAGGACAAGGACGTGTACACCGCCAGCACCGGGTTCAAGTTTACCAGCCTGGCGCTGGAGAAGATCAAGAAGCTGATCAACGCGTCGCCCTTCGTCTCGAACGAGGACAAGCAGTTCTACACGGAGACCGGCCGCATGCGCGAATGGTACAAGGAAATGTGCATTCCGCCGGGGTCGCAGTGGGTCATCAAGGAGATCAACGTGCCGCGGAACGCCGCCGGGGGGCACAACGCGCTGGCGCGCGTGGTGACGCCGCTGGACCAGGAGGTGGTCTTCCAGTCGCGTGCGGTTGGGTCCGGCATCACGGAAAACGTGATGTACCGGAAGGTGAAGGTGGTGAAGAAGATTCCCATGAGCGTGCTCTTCCCGAACGGAAACGCGAAGGGGGACTTTCACTGTCTGTCCACCACGAAAACGATTCTGAATCCGGCGGCCCGCCGTCGTGTCAACAACGCGGCTGACCGCGATGAGCCGGAGGTGATTTACGCTGCGAAGATGGGTTTCATCCGTATCGAAGTGATGTGTAATTGGGGCGGTCGTTGGTGATGTCTCTACTTGTTTTCATTTTTTTTGTAGCCGATTTCCGCCCGGCAGATAGAGATATTTTTATGCGTGCGCGATAGTATCGGCACTGAGAATGCGCCTTCTTGTACTACCCGCAACCTGCTAGGTGGGTTGCGTCGATTTCTCATGTATCACTACAAAAAGAAAAAGTGTAAAAGAATGATATTCGGCCGATTTTGTGTATGATTGAGATTGTGAGACATGAAACACGACGACCGCCCGTGAGCATCCTTCCATACCCAACCACCGCCGCTATCACGTGAAGAAGCCGATGAACAAGACGGTGATGAAGTCTTCTATGAAGAAGAACTAAGCGGCTCCTCGTGTCGCTTTCATCAAGGGCGCCATGGAATTTTCAGGTGCTTGATTTTTTCGCTTTCCCATCAGGGAGAAAAAGGTAAGTCGAGAGCGGGATTACAAAATAAAAAGAAAACATGATGAACACGCTCAGCCTTCAACTTTTTTTTACAAATAAAAAACACAACTTTAAGAAGTAACAGCACCGTGTAAGACTGAGCTTACTGATAGATCGCACTATAACATGTCAATGTTTCCGATTCCGTTTCTGCAAGAAAGCTATGAAATTGTACGATTGAGCAGAAGACCATGATACGTCAACACCGTTTATCCAATTTTTTACGAAGATCGTCTCAGATATCCCAAATTGATCGATGTGTCACCTCCAAGAGAACCGCGGAACCACTGGCGCACGATTTGTGGTGGGAGGGCTGGTTTAGGGTTTTTGTTTAGGGTTCCAGGGTTAGGGTTCGAGATTATTGCCGAGCGCTTGAAAACGAACACAAAAGCTGCAGTGGGTGCGATGTGCGCGCATGCATGCATATTATGCGACGCGCGCAAGAAAAAAGGCAGCAGCAGACGCAGACGCATGCGGTAAATCATATACATGACCCGAATGGAAGGATAATAATTGCGAAAGGCCTTGTGCTATAGCGAGAGCCGAGCGGGCGCCAAGTGTTCAGGCACATCGCCATGAGGTCTAGTAAGTAACTCAAACTCTCCTGGTTCGGTTTCTTGTGGTCGTAATTTTGAGCCCTTGGGCCAGAGTGACAAGAGAGCGATGTATTCGACGATTGTTCGAATGCCTACCGCGTACTATGATTGATAACATTTTTATTTTGGCACGAGGATGGGTCGATTCGATATCGATTGATTGCTTAAGAAGTAAAATACTTATCGTTATCGTCATTTTGCTCTTCCTCCTTCATGGTGTTTTGTGTCCCTTTGGTTCTAGGAGGAGTTTTGCTACTTTCTTGATGCAATACGAGGACTTACCAGCACTTCTGTCTCTTCCCTGTTGATTGCAGTTGATGACTGCACGACCTTGATATAGTGTGCTTTTACCAACATCGCTTTATAATTGCGAGACACGACATCCACCATGGCAGCGTCTCTCCCGACTGCAGCGGAAGCGGGGAATGCTGGAGAAAAGCAAGAAGTCGGGAAAAAGAAAACATTTTCTGACCTGCTGCTAGGGAGCGGAAAGACAGCAACCTTCGATGGGTGGCTCGGTGAGCTTGAAAATGTGGAAGCCGAAAGTCGTGCGCTTCGGTATCAAAAACTCGTTGTGGGCGCTCAGGTAAATAACTAAATGTTGGAATATCTTCAGGATCGCAGTTATTCAATTCTCGCTGTTATGGTTAACAATTTAAAGTACAACGAACCATCCTGCTTTCCACCTGACTTTCTTTAGTCCCACCTTAGGACTGGAATTGTGTTGCTTGAGTTTGGTGGCAGTCGTGCGTGCTGATGCTTGTATTGATAGTTCGATCGTCCTCGTCGAAATGAATGGAAATAGGTGAACGCTTGGCAGTTTGGGATGCTTCACCAGAACAAGAAGAGAGTTGAAGAGGCAGCGAGGGAAGGTAAATCTGTCCCTGTTGTCGTTGAATCACACAAGCGTTTCCCGCTAGACGTCGTGAACAGGATTCGCGCGTTTATCGGCAATGTCGAGCGCAGACCGACCGCAATAATGCAAAGTGATGAACTGATGCGCATTTCCGATCGGCAACGCGGGCGCGATTACAAGCTCGCCGCGGAGTACTTCGTGAACTTGGCGCGGAAGGAGGCGGAGCGCGGAGGGGACAAGCTGCTCATAACAGAAGCGCATGTTGCGTCCATGCCGAAGCTGTCAGAGGGCATTGCCCCCTGCCTCGGTAATGTTTTCGCAATTTTGTACGACAGGGACTACACATTCACAAGCGAAACCGGAGACGGACGTGAATTCCATCCCAGCCGGTCGGTGAATTTCCCATACGACAGTTATCCCATCGTGATGCAGTTTAACGAAACGCAGTCCGCGCAGCTGCAAACAGGCTTCATGCGGGAGATAGTGAAAGAGCTGGAAGCGGGGCGCGGGCACTACCAGGCCCCATCACTACCAGTAGGAGGCGGAGGCGGCTCGTCATCTACTGTGGGTTCGAACAATCTATCCACAAATAGATTTTTTGGAGCATTTGAAGCAGCCCTGCGTGTGACACGCGACGAGGTCGCAAACTACATCACGGATCTCGCTCTTCAAGCCTTTGCCAATGCAGACGCTAACTTTGTCCTAACGGAGGAGATATACGACGCCGCGCCTCGCCTGCCCAACGGGGTGCGCTATCCGATGTTCGACCGGGATCTGGAAGCCGTTCACGCACGTTTCGAAGACAGGTTCGAGTTTCGGATGTTAAACCATCTGCGGACGTTTTCGGGCCTGCAAGTAGTTCCCCAATTTGATAATGATTTCGTGTTGCACTTTCCCGTGACAATTTCGGCAGTCCCCTGAGAAGTGCGGACGCATCTACGTCGCACCTATTGTTGCTTTATTTGAACTTCTGTGGTGGTCCTGGTCCTGCTCGCAGTCGCACCGAAACAAGAGGAGTTTTGTACTTCTTACTCTTGGAATTCAGGTCGTCAAGAAATACATACTTTGTTGGCGATTGTTTGGGCTGAAGGAGAATATCGTGCAACCTCAATGACCGGAACACGAGCATGCGCGCGAGCGCGTTCGCACAACGAACGAATCGGGAAGAAACACTTCGGTCTGTAGTGAGACCGCAGGCAAGTAGGCAAGTGTTCGGGTACAGCAAGGTGTCTACTCCCTGCATGTAGATGCCGATCTCACAGGTTTATTTGGATTTTCGCTCAACTAGGTATGTAACATTAGCCGGGCCGCTACTTTAGCTTGTAACGAAAAAGATCTACATCCACTCAGACCGCACACGGAGTGATGCTCCTACGCGTAAGCAGTTTTGTTGCTTAGATCACTAACAATGAATAAGCGATTGCGATCTTGCGTTGTCTTTTTCTTTGTTCGTCGCACGCGGCCTGTCCGACTCCTCACGTTGTGGGAAATAGATCGAAAAGCGATCCAATAGGAACCGTAGTTCTGAGCTCTTGCACGAGTTCTAGATACCGCGTTACTTTTTTTTATAGTAACGCATGAGCGGTCTCAGTCTGAACAACTTTGGTGGCTTCTCTTTTCGCATCTTCTCTACGTGCTAACGGTTACATTTCGCCACGAAAAAAAAGTGCAGTCACAGCTTATTTATTACCCAATTCGAAACAAGTACCACAACCACACGCTTTGTCTGCTAGTACCAATCCTCTTTGATGGTTTGTAACGACAAGATGTGATCGATGGCTACATCAATTTGAATTTTATTTTCGCGATTTCGGTCTGTTGAACTGTAGACTGTACGTTTTCGTGTATTTCATCTCACTGAGACTACCCACTACCACCGACCCCGCAAACAAACCACGATGCCGGCCTCCACAGCAGCGTCTTCTCAAAGCGTCGCGCCCCGCACGACAGGGGAGGATGCTGATGACTCGCGTGAAGCCAAGAAAAAAACCTTCTCGGATCTTCTGCTGAAAAGCGGAAATACAACCTTCGAACTGTGGCTTTCGTCACTCGAGGCCGTGGAAGAAAATACCAGAGCGACGCGTTATCAACAGCTAGTCGTGGGGGCTATGGTACGTAGTGGAAGATCAAATGGGGCTTAGCGACGTTTGCATGACTTTCAGCTTTATTTTTGAGTTTGACCCGCACGTAGAGCTGGTGTTACACAATTATGCTGCGGGACCAATAAAGTTAAGTTTGAGTTTGTTTCCCAATTCCTATTCTACTGTTTTTCGGTTCAGGTGAATTCCTGGCAATTTGGTTGCCTCCACGCGAACCGGAGAAAAGTGGAAGAGGGAGGTGAGAAAGCTGTTGTGGTTATTCTGTCGCGCGATGCCCGCCTCCCCCTCGATGTCGTTCACAAGATCCGTTTTCTTATTGGCGAGGTGGAAAAACATGATTTTTGCCGCATCACTCCGATGGCCGATCTACAACAGATGTCCAACATCCAGCGGGGCCGAGACCTGAAGGCCGCGGCGGACTACTTTGTCGACCTGGCCCGCAAGGCGGCGGAAAGCGGCGGCAGCATGATTTCGATTACCGAGGCGCAGCTGCAGGCGATGCCGAAAATGTCGGACGGAGCCACTATTCACTTTGGGAACGTGTGCGCTATTCTGAAGGAAAAAGGCTACGATTTCATGGACGCCGAGGGGACGTGGTTCGGCATCGGTGACATTTTTGACCACGGGGAATTTCCGGCGCGTGGACCGGTCGTGATGCAATTTCACGGGATGAACGCCAGCGATTTTGACCCCCTGTTCTCGTGCCAATTGGCGCGGGACTTTGAAAGAGGCCAAGGACTGTACAGATCGCCCACGACATCTCTGGACAGCGCGAATTCATCATCTTTATCCGTAAGTATGCCAAGGACAGCTGGTGCTGGAACGCCTCTCGTTGAAATCAATCGCGTGGCACGAACCGCTCTTGGTCTAGGCCCCGCTCCTGCTCCGACACCACGACCCCAAAACCGGTTCCTCGCTGCCTTTGAGGAATCTCTGCGGAGAACCCAGGCCGAGATGCTGAAATACATCACGGACCTGGCTTTCTTAGCCTTTTCCAACGCCGAACCGCGGTTCGTCCTGACCGAAGAGATTTATAATGCTCCGCCGGCTCGGCATTTGCCGAGTGGCGCACCCTATCCCATGTTCCGGCATCACGTCGAGCAGATGCACCCGGATATCCCTTGTAGAAACGTCCCCACCCCATAGGTGTGATGCAATTGTGCATGCCAAAAAAGTTTCTCATGCGTGGCCGTATGAGAAGCATTTTCTGTTCGTGTTTTGGAATTTGTGATGCTAAAATCGGCATGCTATGCTAGATCTGTGATGCTTCTGAACTAGCTAAACAGGATTACACTACGAGGACAAACTTGTCATGCGAAGCAACCAAAGTTGGCTGATTTGTCTAGCAGATTCCCCATCTTGACTCTGATATGGGGGCGCTTTTACTCAGGATACCGGATCGATCTGGCGCCGCCTACGAAGAGTTTGGGCTGTTTCCGCACTTAGCCAAGGTGCCTGGCTTGAACGTCAGGTCAGAGGAAATCAACGGCGCGCGCGCCTGGCCCGTCACGATCGGACTCAGCTTGGGGACTCAACAGCAGGGCGGAGTGTAAAGAAAAGTTGTATAAAGGGATACTACGTACAGGTGAGCGCCGTTGTGCCCCCCACTGAAAATTGAAGATGATTTGTTTCGCTTCCGGAGATTCTGGAACTCTTTGAAAATTGAACTAACCGCTACTGAGGCTGACGAGCATGAAACTGAAAAGGAAGATACAAAGGTATTGAAGAATGAAACTGAAAGAGATGAAAATAGTAAAAGGAATGTCGCTACTTTATGTTAAGTAGCTGGTTGATTGATTCCGTGGGCTCACGAAGTGTGTCATGATGGGAGTCGCGGCAAAATGATTTTTGCTTCGCGGCATGTAGTTGCAGACGCAGCGCTTGCACCCGTCGTTGTGACGGAGATGTGGCTCTTCCCATGTGTTTTCTCCTCGCTTTCGTTACAAGCTCCAGTGTGGTCTTCAGTCGTTTCATTATTGATCAATTCTGAGATTCAGTCAGACGGAGATCATCATTGCCGGTGCCACCGCGGGATCACGTTCCTACATGAAACCGATCAGGGCGGTGCTGTGTGTGATCCGTGTTGTGTGTACTATTCCCGATCAAAAAACGATCTCATTAGGGTGAGTATACCAGATGTATGAGGCATTGTATGTCTCGAGACAGACGAGACAGATCGTCAATAGCTCCTTATGATTTTCGAAGCTTGTTGAAGATAGACAAGATCATCATCATTCAGCAATTGTTCCGTGTGATCTTCTTGCGGTGATGAAGATGATAAGCGTTCGAGCTTGTTCAGATGGCGATGCGATGATGCGTAAGTAGAATAGCAGCGACGTGCGATGTGTAGTGGCTGACCTTAGTTGCGCTGTGGTTGGTTCATCATCCTCGGATGTTGAATTGTTGTCGACGCACAATTATTTCTATTTTTATTTTTACATGTTGACGTTTGCACCAGACGAAGCGTCCTTGCATTATAACCGAACCTCATCTTCTTCGTTATGGAAAACGGATTTAGAGACCAAATTGACACTACCTTGAGCGAGGAAGTCGCTCGACGCGCGTCCATCTCTGCCCTAAGTGTAGCCAGTCAAAATCAAGGTTGTATCGAAACCACGACAGACTGTTTCAAAACTTCCAATCACACCTATGACCACCACGTCCAGAATCGGAACTCCATTCGTAGTTCCACTTTTACGGGCGACCACTTCGCAGGATTCACGGATTATTTGCAGTCAGTAGAGCAAATAAACCATAAGCAGGAACAGGCTTATGCTTATCGGGATCATGAACAAGAGGACCAAGTAGCGGAAGAGGTAGAAGAGCCGAACCGTTCTTCGTCTGCGAGCTTCTCAAGCTTGATTTTCGAAACGATTTTTGGCACGGCCACATCCGCCGAACCGAATAAAGTACACCGCAGCACAGGCCCAGAAACGACTTCTCCATTCACAAGAAGAACGCAGTCTCTCTTTGTACGACAAAGCTTTCAAGAGGAGCATCATGATGTCCTAAACAAAGAGCGGCAAAATTCCCTGAACTTCTTTTCATCATCGACGGAAAAAATCTCTATCACTCCCGCCGTCCTTACAAGTAGAGAAAGCAGTCTGAATAAAAACGCGACACCGGGTAGTGCGGGTGAACGACAAAAAGGAAAGAACAGTCGCAATCTAGATGCCCTTGACGAAGCTAGTACAGTTGTGTTGACAGGAACTACTGCAGGTACAAGTAGTGAGATTAACACAACGACGTCGACCGCACTTGACTGCGAAAGCGGCTTCTTTCATTCCTCCCCCGCAGCATTAAGTGGATTTTCGTCGCCGCACAGTGTTGCAGACGACGAAACGAGCAGACGAAACCGAGGCACTAGCCTCCCGGCTTTTGACACACACGTGGCAGACACCTTGTTGTCCCGCCGGAGGAGCAGTGTTAACAGTATTACTGCCGCTAGAAGTCGTGCAGCCACAGCCACACCTACAAGTAGTACTTTGCAAAAAAGGGATTGTGTCGTGGTCGAGGACGTCGGCACTGGCTCAGAAGTATCACCAAACACTCTTGTACAACTGGAAACGCGAGCAGCTGTTTGTCGTTCGGCCCAAGAGGGAGACTGCTGCAATTTTGCCGAAAGTGTAGTTTCCGCTGCTGCCGGTGAAGCAGGAGAGATCAAGAACCCAACCTGTGTGTCCGGTGTGCAAAACGACGTGACTGAAGTGCTTGTGGAACACCGACCCCAGGAGCCCGAAGAACAAAAGACGACCGAAAAGCAGAAGAAAATGACTGACCTAGTTCCCCAGGAAGAGGTCACGGAAGTGCCGAGTATAATCTCTTTTTCCATTTATTTGCTTTTTTTCTCTAAATCTTAAAAGCTTGAGTATGTATTCGTAATATTTACATCATTTTGACAGCCTGGCCTACCACAGTTTGGCTTTTTAGATGCGCCGCTCTGCGACGATAGCGCCTCCGGGGTTCGCAGATAATCTCAACGCAATATCACAGATTGGCAACCGAGCCTGCATCTTCCGGTGAAAGAGGCTAGCAAAAAAGTGGTTTCTCCTGCGAGCAGCGAACCAGAACTAATTTTCTTGGCCCGGTGCAAGCTGTACCGGTTCACGCTGGAACCGGATGAGCACTGGACCGACGTCGGAAATGGCGAAGGGAAACTTCTGTACGATCGTGCGCAGAATTCGGTGAGCTTCTGCCTCCACCAGGACAAGACGGGGCGAATTTTGCTGCAAACGCCGGTTCGCTCGGAGCTTGGTATTTGCATTTTTTTCACTCTCTTTTTTTAGTGTTTGCAATCAAAATCAAATGCAGCCAGTTTCTTTCTGGTTTTTGAGCTGGCCACTGAGACTGACTGCGTTCTGCTTCGGTGTAATGCTAATGCATGACCACGGCGTAGGCCTCAGAGTCAGACTCAGAAATACAAATATGAAAATCGCGAAAATAAAATTCGCCCTCATCACAGCGATCTCCGAGAACGAGGGCAATCCAAAGACCGCAGTTTTCAACGCGTTTGTCGAAGACGGGTCCGTGGAGCGCGTTATCAAGTGTAAAAGTGTCTGGGTCTGGAAGAATGCATGTTTGTCATGCTTGTCTGGCATGACTCTTAAATCTGTCATGCACGTTACCCAAGAGCTCCATTTTTCTGTGATGCAGAAGCGCAGTTTGTCATGCGGAATTGGCAACACCTAGAAGCTCAGAAACTTGTCATGCTGAGCCAGCACTTGTGGCCTCATCATGAGACGCCACACAGCATCACAAGTTTCCAGACCCAGACATTTTTGCATTTGATACGCGTCTGTTTGAAGTTCAAAAACGAGGAGACCGCAATATGACCTGCTCAAACGTTACAATCTCAAACGTTACAATAGAATCTGAGATTTGTCTTGCATGATCAACATGACAGACTCGGACAGCGTTCCACTTTTTGCAATACAAATTTCGCCAGATTGTAGTGCGGATTGGGACTCCAGAACTTGTCATGCGCAATCCTGTGGGAGTAGGGTAGATCATGCACTTCTTGCAACACAAATTCCAGATTCTATTGTAACGTTTGAGATTGTAACACCTGAGCGGGTTATACGCAAAACAGTTTCGCGAGAAATTCGCCGAATGGAAAGCGGTGCCCGAGGTCTGTTTGATACTAAACTGAAAAATGTCTGCAGCTAAAAAAATCAAAATTTTTGCATCCTACATTTTCGGGCACCTTCTTGTGTGTTTCTTTTTTTTCACAATGAAGCGAAATCAAGGAAATGGGCAGGCCAGGTATTCCGGCACGGCCTCGGCGGACGAAGCAGAGGAGACAGCTCAGCCACCGGGGGACTCGGTGCTTCGCTATCGGTGGACGTCGTCCACCCGGGTTCGCAGTTGTAGGTCTTCAAGTTCCCGCACTCCCTCCTGATTCCTGACGATTTACCTAGTG